GGGGGGGGGGGGGGGGGGGGGGAGGAGATTTCCATCATAGACCTATCAGAAGAGCTCTCTTTTGTGGAGAAGGAACACAAGGCACACAGATGTTCTATCTGATCAAAGAGAACGCACACATTATTCAAAAGAGCAGCGTCAGAGACTCCTTCAGGAATCCTGCTAACAGCAGTAACAAAGAATGCTTTTGTTTTAGAACACAGACCTCTCTAAAGATTTTCATTGCCATGTTTCCCTGTTTTACACTTCAGCTATTCTTAGGCATTTTGAAAGAAAAAAAATAGCTTGGGAGTGAGGAGAAAGGCTTCAGAAAAACTAAAGTGCTCATTAAAATGAACTAATTTCCTCCTTGTTAAACATCTGCTGAAGATAAAAGGACTGACTTTCTGTAGATAAAGGGACACAGATGCTCTTAAAACCTCTTGGTCATCCATGAGCAGCAGGATTTCCTCCAAAATTTTCAGCTGAAGCAGTGAATAACTATATATATTTTTGTGTGTTCTAGATTCTTGACCCTCTCCTTCTGCTCTGTCCTCTCCCCATTGCCACCCGCACATATTATTAAACCTCTTGCCAATTTAATCTCCTCCTTATTGCCCTAACTCATCTCCTGATAATGCCACCCATTTTTATCTATCATGTATTGCCTTCCTTTTATCAGCATTAGGAACATTCTAAGCTAGAACAGCTATTTTAAGGTTAATAAGTCAGCTCTGTGGCAATGCAGAGATCTGAACCTGGCCTGCAGAGTTAACAGCCAATCTTCTTGCACTTTTGGCCATGCTGGGAATTTGAGGAAGTGCAGTCGCAACACATCTAGAACATGACAAATTGGGAAAAGCTGTTTTATGCACTCCCCTATAGCAAATTCTAGCAAGTGTGTCCTATTTCAACACGCTCCCTGCATTTCAGGTCTAACATTTTTATCATCTCTACCAACAATTCTAATAATTTTATATTTTTATACTAAAGGACTTACATACTGTATGCATGAATACTTAATAGAGGGCAGTTTACAATAAAATTTCAGACCTATCACTAAAAACAAATCCTATAGCAATAAATACTATTGGATTTTTGGCTGTAGGTCTTACTTGTTAGGCGTATGACTGCCAACCGCCCAAAGCAGTCTCCCTAGTAATGCCAACATATTGTAACAACAATGCTCTGCCTCTCTTCCCCACTCCTGCTCCTCTATTTCTCATCCCTTTTACCCTCTCCCAGCTAATAAGCAATGATGCAAACATGGGAGTGTGCTGGACCTTAAAGGCAATTTACCCTTGCATCAGTTTCCAAAGACTCTAGTCCCCAAGATCTTATGCCAACCTTCTCCACCCTGAAGTTGTCTAGGAGAGCCGTCACTACAATTCCCAGAATCCTTAGCTGTTAACTATGCTGCCTGGAGATTCTAGTGTTTGCACATCTGGAGAGCTTCAGATTAGGGCAGACTAATATAGATGAAGTCATGCATCTGATGACATGGCCTGCAATTCCCGAAACCTGACACGCTAATACTCCGGCTATACTTCAAGGACATTATTCCTTCCCTGCGAAAGATAAAGACAGCTATTCCTCTCTGGAAACAAGCATGTCTGTCCAGACCCTTGCCTTCTGCTGCAACAGATCCGCCCTCAGCAACGCATAAGGGAGGGAAAGGGTGACCACCATGGCAAACTGCCCTTCCTGGACACGTCCATACAGCTTTCCTGCCATTGTCTTCTGAGCTTTCTTTCCCTTTCCCAACGTAGCCTATACCCCTGGGGTTTCCTAGTGGTCTCCCATCCAAGAACCAGCCAGATCCGGCACTGTTCGTCTTCCTGAGACGAGCCAAGAGGCAGAACTGGATCCTCCTGGCCACGCCCACTACTCCCCTCCCGACCCACCTGAGGCGCCCCGCCCTTCCTCGGCCCCGCCCCCTGTCAATCATCGCCTCAGGTTGGCTCCTCGCCCCCTCAAGGCCTCCCCTCTGGGCCGCCCTCCCTCACCGTTCTGCGCACCAACCGGCGTCGGCAAGAGGCTCCCTGCTGTGGCCAGGAGGAGCGAGAGGGCCGCGGGCAGGGTGGCTGGGCCCCGCAGCATCGTCCCGGCGGGTCCGCGAGCGGAGGAGGAAGAGGAGGAGCGGGGCAGGGGACGCGGGGGCGGCCGGCGAGGGAGGAGAGGGGAGGGGAGGGGAGACGAGAGAGGAGGAGGAGGAGGAGGAAGGAGCACGAGGCGGGCGACCGAGCCTCCGGCGCCCTTCGGTGTCGCCTTCGCCTGCCTTCTTCCTCAGCGCGACGAAGCTGCTCCTTCTGCGGCAGCGCCGGAGTCTCGCGAGAACTCAGCTCCCACTTCTCGCGGGGGCGAGCGGACGGAGGCGGGCGCGGGGAGCGCAAAGCGGGGAAGGGCGAGGAGGAGGAGGCTGCCAGCCCCGCCCGCCCGGTCCTCGCGCGGCTAACGTCACGGGCGAAGGCGTGGCCGGCTCCTCCTCCTCCCGCGGCAGTTCGGCACCGCCGCTGTTCCGCGGATGGGGGCGCCTCCCTCAGCTTTCCCAGGTATCCCTGCGCTTTAACGCTCCGTGTGTCGTGGGCATGCGGAGACCTGCTGGCTGGGGAATTCTGGGAGTTGAAGTCCACCCATCTTCAAGTTGCCAAGGTTGAGAAACATTGCCAGTCTAGCATGATTGTCTTTGGCATTGCTGCAGATGTATTTCCCTTTTTAAAACAAGTCTTGCTTTAATTTTGGCATCTATTGCTGTTAGGAGTGGTGTGGATAGCGTGAAGGTTCTCCCGGAAATGGCTCTGAGGCTCTTCAGGAGGAAGGGCGATTTAGGAAGACATCACCTTTACTGATGGGATTCAACTTTGAATGCGCGGACCATCTTACGGATCAGGAGGGACAATATACAAAGGCAAACTCTGCGTTTGTCGCCTGTCCTCGCCTGAAGGTGTGACTTCGCACGTGTCTAAGTAATGCACCTTCTGTTGCTTAGATTGGTATTATGAGAAGGCCCAGCTCCCTGGAGAAGGCTCTAAAGGTAGAAGGAAAGAGAAGAAGAGGATGACCAGCAACAAAGGGGATGGACTCAGTTACAGGGGCGACGAATGCGCCATTGGAAGACCTGAAAGATGAGGTTAGGGACAGATCATCATGGAGAAAATCTATCTATGTGGTCACTAAGAGTTGACACCAACGTGATGACATGTAATCAATCAACAGGAAGACCTAGCTCTCTTGAAAAGTCTATAATGCTGGGAAAGGTGGAAGGAAAGAGAAGAGGATAACCAGCAGCAAGGGGATGGACTCGGTTACAGTGGTGATGGGGGCACCTTTGGAAGACCTGAAGGACCATGTAAGGAACAGATCATCATGGAGAAAATCTATCTATATGGTCGCTGAGAGTCGATACCAACTTGATGGCACATAATCAATCAACCTCTGGGAAGGTTCCAGCGACGATGGGGGCACTGTTGGAAGACGTGAAAGATCAGGTTAGGGACAAATTGTCATGGAGAAAATCTATGTGGTTGCGAAGAGTCAACACCAACTTGGTGGCACATAATTAGTCAATCCATCAATCATCCTCTCCTTCCTCTCTCAATTCAGTCCCTTTTTCTGACTCTGATCTGTGCCATCTAGTTAGTTACCTGGTTCCATTGTTTTCCGCTGATAGAGAGGGAGACATTGTAGGATCTGAGCTGTAGACAAACCTAAAATAACTCAGGCTTTCTTGTCACTATGTTATTTCTTCAGTAAAGTTTCATTTTCTTTCATACAAGCCCAGCCTCAAGAATCATCTTTTCTCGTAAAACATGTTTTATGGCTCAATATGGTATAATCCTCCATAAACCAGGATTGTACAATAATAAGCCATAAAACATGTTTTACAATGACGGGTTCATCTAAGCCCGAATCAAACAAACCGTGCTGTGGCTCAGTGTGTGATGTGTAAAACTCAGTCACAGTAATCACAATGGTAGCCATCAGTGGCCTGATCTGTCATAAATTTGTCCATTTCCTTTTTTAAAGGCATCCAAGTTATTGACTATCACCCTCACCCTCACATGATAGACAGTTACAATCGACAAATTGAAGGTGTTCCTTGGGGAAGCTTAAAAGTCCATTTTAATGCACTCAGCCCTTTGACACGTTGCTGAGACAAAAGCAGCTAAATAAATACAGGGAATCCCCAGGTTAAGAATGCCCGGTTTATGGATGACCCATAGTTAAGAACAGAGCTTATTGTAGCAAAATTTGAGTTAAATACACAATGATTTAAGTTAACTACCCAATAGTTTGAGTTCATTACACAATACTACTTACACAGTATTATACAATAATACTGTTCCGGCTTACATACAAATTCAACTTAAGGACAGACCTTGGGAACGGAACTCGTTCTTAAACTGGGGACTATCCGTAACTCAAAGACTGTTGTGTTCCTATTCCACATACTTGGAAAAACCATTTGGGTATTTTCCCTGTCTCATTAAAAAGTGCAAAGAAATCTAAATGTGTGGTTCTTCATTGGCCTTTCTGCCTGTTCCTGCCCTTGGGAGTTCAGAAGCAGTTGTCATATGAAGAAATTGCACTTAAAACCTTTCATCTTCTGTCAAGAACAGGTCAAAATCAGCTTTAGGAGGAGGGAGAAATATACATTCTGTGCCAGACCCAGGTGGTTTGGCTAGGATTTGGCCACTCATGATTTGGCAAAGAAAGTAAATAAACACAACACAAAAGAGGAGACAGATTTGCATAAACTGTGCATATATTAATTAACAAGCACAGGTGCATGTTTAGAAATAACGATTAGGTTTTCAATACAGTCTCACCAGAGGCTGTGACTCGGTGATCTCCATGGAGTAATCTAAACAATCCATTAAATGTTTGTTTGTTTGTTTGTTTTCAATATTTACACATTGCCCTTCATCAGAATGAATTCCAAAATAGTCGGCAACAATTAAAAATCCAACATCCAATTAAAAATGCATTACTGACAAGCAGGAGGTAAAAAAGATGGAATAAACAGTATTTAAAATAGCAGAGTGAATGTTGCAACTCCCAGTAGTTATTAAGACGGATTGGCTCATTAGAAGTTCATTAAAAGCAAATAAAAAAAACTCAAACAGAATGAAATTAGGAGGTGGGGAAAAGGAGGTTAAATGAAAAGAATTTGGGTATTATTGGAATCATCAAATTGCCTCCAGTTTGATCAAAATAAAAGCCAGATCATAAATTGACTTGCTTGATTAGGGAAGGAACAATAACTACTTTTATAAAAGACTTTTATGGACTTTTTGCTGAACATGGATAAAAATGAATTAGTGATCTCTGGATTTACTGATTAAAAAGGGCTGTATATGGGGAGAATGGAACCATGTTATGTAATTTGGGAGGGCAGAAACAGTATTAACTATGTAATTGCTGCAGAGGAGATAGGAAATAGCTTTAAATATTTTTTTCTTTCTTTTTTCTGGACCGCTACTATTGTTCACCCCTCTCTCTCTCTTTTCTATCTCTTTTTATGTCTTGCTCGCTTTTCTATGTTCTTTTTTATTTTTCTGTAGCTTTTAACTTTATAAAAAATGTTGGTCAATGAAAATTATATTTAAAAAAACAAAACAAACCACGGCCAGATCATCAGAATGGAAACAGTATTCAGCCAGGAGCTTTTAGGGGATAGGCTTCAAGACCAAAACACATTTCTCACTTACTCATTAGTGCAAAACCAGTTGTGCTTTATAGGTTCAGACTGACTGTCATCTGACCTTAAAAGGAGGGCAGGACTGATTTTGAGAAAATGGTTGTTTCCACTGCATCCTATCCCTGATTATCAGCACCCTGGTTTACAGTAGTATTTCTCAACCCTGGCAAACTTCCTGATGTTTAGACGTCACCTCCCAGAATTCTCATCAAAAGACACACTGGCTGTAGCGTTAAGGGTGTTGGGGTGTACCCCTCTGGAAACAACCAGGGTTGGAAAAACCCTGCTTCATTTAATTAACCCACTCCCTTGGATTTTTGCAGTACAATGAACCATAGATGAGGGTCAACGTTGTAGGGCAATCAGTCTGACGTAACCCAACACCACTAGCAAAAATAAGGTGCGTGCAAATTCTTGCATGGATTTATATTTCCTTTTCCCGTGGATTTCAGCCGGTGGTGGGTGGGCAATGGACAATCAGTGGAGAATCTGTAGTTTTGCAGAACTATTAGTTTCCACATCAGTTGCTTCATTGACTTTCGCCACGTTTTCAAGCTGTCATGAAGCCAGCCAACCACAAATGCCAATACATCTACTAAATGTTTTTAATTACCATGCGCTAAAGACAATCATGCCTGTAGCACTTTAGATGATTATCCAAGAGATGCCAATTATCACTGATATTTCCAAACACAGCCACTGTAATCATTAAAAGCTCGTTCTAGCGTTTCATCTTGAAAACAGGAAGCTGTGGATGCAGAGTTGAATGCATCTCACTGGCAAAACACAGGCAAATATTGGGGACAATATTTATAATTCCATCCTGGAATTGTTAATAGGGTTCACGTACATTCTAATTGGAGTCATTTCCCGTGAGTTTAGGGGGCATTCTCCCAAATGTTCATATATGAGCATGAAACACTGCAGCAGAAACAAGCACGTCAAAGGCACACAAGTTGATCTACAACAAAATGTCTTGTATCCTTGACTTCTGAGGCTCCTGATGCTTGCAAAACATTGACAGAAAATCATAAAAATAATCCTAAAACATATCTTCATCCGAATAGCCTGGGATCTGACCGGTGGCTTCTTAACCGGAACGGAGAATGGGCTTATCAAATAACACTGTTTTCAGATGCTCCTTAAATAACTGGTTCATGGTTGCTACATTCATGCAAAGATCAGAAACGGATCAACCTCATATTTTGGGGAGTCAAAGCAGCACTGTTCATTTAAGACAGATGTCAGATAAACGCCTCTCCATTTTTTGTAAAAAAGAAATATTTCTTTTCTTACAATCTTTTTTTGAAAGAGTGCTGGAAATGCTGATGCATCTTTCTCGGAACTGAAAATATCTGCGGAGGATCCAAACATGAGCTCACTCTGAAAGGACATAGAACATCTAGTAAATGTTTTTTTAAAAAATATATACAATGAAAATGAAAAGGCTCCTGTCCAAAACATGCTGAAAGGAGGGGAGCAGAGATGAATATATTCCAACAAGAAAACTTATAAAATAGTTTAAGCCTTTTCTCCCCAGCAGGGCATTATGAAGCTCACATGTTCTGCAAAATTGGTCAAATGCACGACTTGACAGTGACTCGCGCAAAGCTATGTTTTGTTTTAACGGTGAGTGTTTGTTTTGTAAATAAGTTACAATGGCCAGGTTCACACATTACACTGGGGGGGGGGCGGTGGAACTTGTTTCAGTTCACAGGCCATATTTGAGCTTCATGTGGTCCTGGAAGGGAAGCTAAAACAAACGCCATTTAATTTCATTCCATTTTCCCCATGATTTTAATCATTTCCCGCTCCGTCGTATGAACCATTAGGATCTGGTGGCAATTTTTGAAAGTGTTCTGGGAGCCACGCTGAAAGTTTCAGGGGCCACGGGCTTAAGTTGCCCGCTGCCATATGCCATGGTTCCAGTTATACTATACATATACATTGCACATATATAGGCAAGGTACATGCAATACAGTATTGTGGGATATACAAAGGCAACACGTTAAATCCAAGCCTAACAAACCAGAGAGATGCGCTTGATCCAAGATATGTTGACTATTTACAAGCCAGCCTCCATAACCTTGTGGTGTCTTCAGGATCCCCTCCCGTCCATTCTTTTCTCAGAAGTCAGCCCATGACTCAGACATAGGCTTTTCCACAGGAAATACAATTTCTCTCCTATGCTGCTAAATTTAGTTCATAGTTTCAGCCCCAGACAATAATGCTCAGTAGGCACCCTATGGTCATACGGTCAGCACAAATGAGTTATGGGGTTGGTGCCAAAGTTGGCCAACTTTTCCACTCACGCTGTTCCTTCTTTCTTGTCCTTCTTTGTTTGCTAAACCATCAGGGCATGGGAAGAGGAAAAGCGTCTCGCCACCTATGTACATATATACCCATCGTGCTATTCATTTCCAACATCAGCAATGTAATGCACTCTCCCAGTTGGTAGGATGTAGGGAACAATATGTTGGCTTGCGAGGTTGTCTCTAGATTAGTTTCCCAACAAGGGCATCTTCAAGATGTGTGGACTTCAGCTCCCAGAATTCTTAGCAATGGCCACGCTGGCTGGGGAATTCTGGGAGTTGAAGTCCACAGGTCTTAAAATGGCTGAGGTTGAGATCTGGAGGCCCGTCTGAGGATGGCCAAGCCGCCTGACCCAGTGTTTCTCAACCTTGGGAACTTTAAGATGAGCTGGCTGGGGAATTCTGGGAGTTGAAGTCCACTCATCTTAAAGGGGCCAAAGCTGAGAAACACTGATCTAACCAAATGCAGATCACTGAGCCACATTTGAACATCTTTGCACTATCTCCAAGGGTTGGGTATCCCTCCACCTAAAGGCTGTCCTGGTTTATCTTCCAGAGCCCAAAGTGGGCACAAGAGAGAGCCCGCCAGCCGTGCCCGGTGATCCAGCCGGAAGGGACGGCGGGCAGCTTCTAGCTTCTCCCGCCGACCCAACGCAGCTCGCTCGGTTTGGGTTTCGCCGCTCGGGCGATCCCACCCCTCCACGCCAAAACCCGGCTAAGCAAGCCGGTTCAGCGCCACGTGGGGATGGGACCCAGGCCCTGGC